ACAGACAGACAGACAGACAGACAGACAGACAGACAGACAGACAGATAGATAGATAGATAGATAGATAGATAGATAGATAGATAGATAGATAGATAGATAGATAGATAGATAGATAGATAGATAGATAGATAGATAGATAGATAGATAGATAGATAGATAGATAGATAGATAGATAGATAGATAGATAGATAGATAGATAGATAGATAGATAGATAGATAGATAGATAGATAGATAGATAGATAGATAGATAGATACGCTCAATGTCGTCGAAGTTCACTAAAAATGCTTTACATTTATTAAACCTTTAGCAACACCCAGCGTTGAACAGGAAACGAAAACGTCGCACATGATACCAAAACACCTAACGATGGCTGACCACTCGCAATATATATAACATAAGGTCAGCCCCAGCATCAGCTTACTTTGAGTCACTAGCGTAGCTTCGTTGATCGGGCGCGGTAATGTTGGGACGAGTTTTTCATGTTTTTTACCCGTTATTGTTCAGTTTTGACTTCTTCTCGCACACTTCTGTGACTTGTGGCGCGGATCTACTGATAAAGCCATGTGCAAGCATAAGCTTCAATCTTTAGGACAATTTGTGACGTGTAGATAGACTTCACAGTCGGTGAGGCCATTGGCAGAAAAGAGGGACTCACTGTCTGTAAGCACTGCAACAGAAGCTACGCGTTCCCCAGTGCGACATGATAAAGAAAGCTACAGATGAATCCAGTGATGCTGACTCTGAATAAGAGATTGAACTGAACTTCATCTTTTTACCATCTCGATCAACGTTTCCATTGTCCAAGTCACGACGAAAGAGACATTTCTGTGTTATTTGTTCAAATTGCCGCAACAATTCTAGGAAGCCGCACGCAGTCACAGAGAGCTAAATGAGTTCACGATGATGTTTCTTCAATCAGGTAAATGCCGTATTTTTTTTCTGAAAGTAGAGAAAGCATTTCATGTATATTTACAAAATGAAAGATATTGCTCTTGATACTTGGCAATAAACTATGCCACATGACAAAGAAAATTTGTTCCTTCCTATTTTATTTCCAAATTGAGGAAAAAAGTCAAAGAAACAGGTTTTTTTGATTGCTCAAAAATTTCCAAAAATTTGCATTTCTAGCCCGAACACTCTTTTTTCGGTAGCAGTATTTCTCATAAACACATCGAAAAATGAAAGTGTGTGTCTCCAACTTGATACGTTGGCAACCAGCTACTTCACTAAGCGAGACGATGGTGGTTACACGCGTGAAACATCATTAAGCACACTGCACCACAACCATATACAAAAATAACACCTCTATGGCAGAAACAAAAAAGACAAAAGAAAAAGTCGCATCGTGCTCTAAAATTTGCAGAAAGCTTGATTCCACGCTTTTATTTTGCTAACAATAAGCTTAAGTCTGTTTTGAAGAACCAGTGCCAAGAAATGAGAACAAAAACCTACTTTGAATACTTTGCGAGTGCAGATCTAAGGAGAAGAAATAGGAACTCTATAGAGCGACTGATCATGTAAAGTATTACCTTACAAAGCGTAACATTTTACGTCCTCACAAACCCGGTACACCGGGTTTGTGATCATTTTGCGAACCCCGTATACCGCGGAATGTTTAGCCTCGCCACTGTGGCCTAGTGGCTAAGGTACTCGGCTGCTGACCCGCAGGTCACGGGATGAAATCCCGGCTGTGGCCGCTGCATTTTTGATGCAGGCGGAAATGATGTAGGCCCATGTATTCAGATTTGCACGCACGTTAAAGAATCCCAGGTGGCCGAAGTTTTTGAAGCCCTCCACTACGGCGTCTCTCATAATCATGTGGTGGTTTTGGGATGTTAAACCACACAAATCGAATCAAATCCCACATATCAATCAATCAATCAATCAATCACAGGATAAATAGCAACTATAAAGTTGCTAGACATCTCGTGGTATACCGGGTTCATTTCATTGGCTGCGGTTTTCAGTGACGATGCCAACTTGTTATATGCTCAGGCCGGTTACCATGAAGGCTACCGATTGCGAGTTTCATGACCAGAGCTTGGGCACTGGGCTAGTTTCTGGTATTTGTTTCTGTAGGTGTTGCCATGATGCTGGGGGCGAAGCAAAGATTCAGTAACTTTTGCACACGTGTCTTCACTTTCTGAACCGACGCATTTATGTGTACTAATAAACGGTGTTTGTTTAAATCATTCTTACGTCCTGTATTTTCAGCCATCACTTCATTCATTTCGCCAACAGGAAGTGCTTTGGCTTTTATGGCTTCGGCTTCCATTTTCTTCGCCAACTTTTGCCACTGTCATTGTCTGCACGAGTATCATATGTTTCGATGATCAGAGGTTTTAAGTTCTTTTGTATTTCTGCGCGCGGCAACGTGCCGACAATGGCTTGCAATATTGAGAAAAAGGCACAAGGCGTGCTGCGCTCAATGCGGTGTGAGAACTAGGGGACGAGCATCAAGCCGACATTTTTCTGCTTGACGGCGCATGAGAAGTAAGTACCCTTTTGCTTCAGTCGTCGTGAAGAAGTAAGAAACAATTTTATCCAAACTGCTCGGGGGCGAAACAAAAGATCTCCGCTGTCACTTCCGATATTTTGTTTTTCGTCGGCGCAGTGCACTTTTCAGTGGTGTTGTTAACAACCTTTCAAGAGTGCAGTGATGCTATAGCTGACACGCACGTAGAAATTTCGCTTCAGGATAGGTTATTGGTTGCTCTTCATTTTCACCCGAGAAGAAAACTTGTAATTTATGTGCGCGAGATGTACTTAAAGGGTCCTTGAACCCCCTTTTCAAGTAATTATTGATTGATATTATCGTCGGAGTTTCGAAATTGTCTCGCGAACCTATTGTCGCAGAATATTCCCGAATTCATTAAGAACGAGCACAATTACAAGAAATATTGACATGCTCTAAGCGCGTTCTCTCTTCTCTCACTCTGAAGCACACTAAGAACTACATAGGGAGAAATGTAAAGGCGAAAGAAGCTACGTCAGCGTGCATCATGACCTTGAGAGCAGGTGACAAACACTGATCGCTCTGCTGCTGTAATGTTAGCAGACTGTGAAGCGCGGTGCCGGCACATAGCTGCACTCCGTGGCAGGAAGTGCATCTGATCAAAATCTCGCTCTCGATTTATGTCGGCTAAGGGCCAGCAATTTGCTATCTGTTATTCAATGTCAAAGAGCATGACACAGGAAGGAAGCATTGACGGAAGTGAGCGCTGCCGCTGCATGAAAGCAGGGCGTGTAAGAAAAAAACAACTTCGCACTCCTTTTGCTAACTATCCTTTCCGCGCATGATTACAAGATCGGACCGAGCTGTTCATAGCAATGTCTGCTCTCAACAAGATGCGTCATATTTCACCAATACCCCGAAGGGTGGTTCATGACTCTTCGTCATTTGGGTGCCTTAGCTTTTTTTCCTTGACTTTGACATGCTGTAACAGTATTAACTACTAAAAACTAACCCAGTCCTTGCTTAGCCCAGCCTCAAACAATTAAACCGTCAATCAACACTTCTCTATATTTATCAATGAAAAAAGCCTTGGTTTACGCTGGGATATTCATTAGTTTCTAGGAGATGCGCCGTTATGGCACGTTATAGAGATGCGTCACGATTATGGCAGGAAATACGCGTATTACAAGCTTTAACCAAAACTTTAACATGCTCATCAATGGATGTATGCGAAACTGTATTTTTAGTCCTGAGGAGCATGACTCTATGAGCAACGGGCCGTTCCCACGTTGGGTCAATCAGGCCAAGCCAAACTTTATTTAGGAGCAGAGGCCCCATGTCAGGCTATATAGCCTTTAGCCTCTGCTCCCGATCCTGTAAGAACTTCAGGACGAAATAAACTTCAATTCAATTCAATTCAATTCAAGCCCGACCACCGCATCATGCGCTTTCTGAACAGCCCATAGTTCAGCCCCCGGCATCGGAACAGTTGCGGAATTCTATTATGGGAGCTCTGAATGAGGGTGTACTGGTCATTGAGGTCAAAATGTTTGTATATTCTTCAATGAAACCATGGGGATTATGGTAACCTACACAATATATCTAACACGCGCGCGCGCGCGTGTTAGATATATGTGTGTGTGTGTGTTTGTATATTCTTCAATGAAACCATGGGGATTATGGTAACCTACACAATATGTCTAACACGCGCGCGCGCGCGCGCGCGCGTGTGTGTGTGTGTGTGTGTGTGTGTGTGTGTGTGTGTGTGTGTGTGATTGCGCAGGTGGTAGCCGCGCCCTCACTTGTCGCATTACACTTGTCTTTTACTGCAGCTGTCATTCTTCTGACCACTTTGGGGGGTATTTGTGCAGACCACTTTTGGGGGTATTTGTGCATGTGTGCAATAGTAGCCCTGGGACTGTAACCAGAGCCATTCGTTGCGCAGGCACAAACGTAAAACATCCAGGAGCGTCATGTAGTATGTGTGATTGGGAGAACGTAACAGAGAAGTTGGAGGAGGTAGAAGGGCAATGTAGATATTTTTCATTAGTACGTGTGGACATCGTATTGAACATCCTAACACGTCATTTCAGTATAATAATATCCAGTTTATTCCAAACCATTATTCTGTTCACTCGGTCCTAGCGTCCACAGTGAACTCCATCTGTGAGTGCACAGATTTAGAATAAATTGTGTACTCACAGATGGATGTACTCACCTTCGCATCTGTAGTTGTGTGAACAACAAAGTGATAAGAATCGCGTGTGGTTAACACTTGCACTCCTCCAGAAATGCATCCCCAATTATCGAATCCACCCAGACTTTACTTTGAATGACTTAAATTCAGGCTGCCAGGTACATACGTATCAGTCTGATATTATGCCAGTCAACTCATGAGTTGGTTCATTAAACTAATCATGTGAGGTCCATTAAACAAATAATCTACATTATGAGAACTTGAAAAACAAAAACAAAAGTTTTTGGTCCATGCTATCTATCATTATCGTAATCCTTGATAGGATTCTGACTAGCAAGGTGCAGCCTTACATTGAAAATCGGTTTATTTCAATGGCATGAAGAAATACATTCGCTGACAATTTTATTCACCACCAGATAAGCTGGAGGTGCAACTTAACGTGTGTGAAGAGATAATATTGCATGGTTATGAGTGGGGGTGGGGGGGGAATGGAAGCAAGGTGTGGTTTAATTGAAAATAAAAAAGTTTAAAACACATAAATTCAAAGAAAGTTAGGTTCATGTGCTGTATTTTGACCGATAAGGGACAACCTAACATCAAATCGTTAACGCGTGCTTTTTTCTAATATAGCCCTTGATTGTAGGTCAATTGTTTGTTCGCTTTTTTATTCACGTCCTTCAAGAATAGGTGATTCGGCTTACTACAGGTTGTATCCGTTGTACCTGTTGTAGCCATTGTAGCCGTTGTAGCCATTGTAGCCACCTGCATAGTATCTAGGAGCCTGGGTGTAGTAGTAGTAGTAGGGTGCGTGAGTGCGCAATAATATGAGGGTATTCGCAGACTTGTGATGCTTTTTCGGCTTCTTACTCTTCTTGTGTAGGCCTTTGAACCAGTCGGAAAAGCAGTCATGGTGATGGTGGCCATGCGTATTCGTAAAAATCATAGTTTTCTGCTTCTTGTGCTTTTTGTGCTTCTTCTTGTGAACTTCCTGCAGAATAACTGGCACCTCGTGCAGTATTACTTTGGGTTGCTCCTTAATGATTACTTTTGGTTGCTCCTTGATGATTACCTTAGGTTGCTCTCTGATGATTACCTTAGGTTGCTCTCTGATGATTACCTTAGGGTGCTCCCTGATGATTACCTTAGGTTGCTCCTTGACTACTACCTTGGGTACCTTTTTGAGAACTAGCTTGGGCTGCTCCTTAATCACTACCCTCTTCTCTTCCTCGATTACCGTGTTATAGGCGACGGGCTTCAGCTCTTTCACATAGCCGACCTTTGCCTTGTCGCCACGACCCCCCTCCATCCTCCGATTCGCAGACCAGTGTTGAGGATGTGGCTGCTTATGCGCTTGTGGACTATAGTTGGGTACGGGCCTGTGGACGTCCTTCCGGCCATGGTGTTGCTTGGGTGTATCGTAGGTGTACCAAGGCCTCCAGTAGTCGTACTGAGGCTGCCCGTGTGCCGCTGGCCGCCCTCTCACCACGACCACTGTATGACTGGATGGTGCAGGCTTAGCCCCCGGATGACCACCCTTCGGGGCGGCATGCTGCACCACTGCCTTGCCGTTGGCAGCCGTCAGTGCTGATGAATGACAGGGATAGCAAGATAAATAGATGGTTAATAACTATGCCCACAAATTAGCAGCATATATTACAGTTAAGGTTGTGAAATTACGCTTTTTGAGAACCAAATGCATACGCGAAAGACATGTGCTGTAACCCAAAGCAGAAACATATCTGTTAAAGGGATAAATATGGCATGCTGGTACAGGGGCCGTCAAATATTCTCACCCACGCATCAATAGGAATACGTGGGATAACGCTTGGGAAATTTTGACAGCCCCTGCAGATAATTAAAAGATACTGCAGCGCATGGAACGCGTCGTTTTTCTCATTTTTGTTCCGTGCCCGTATTTTTGTGCCCGAGTATCTCTCGTTAAAGTCATGTCTTGCGAACCTTTTTTCCCAAAGTGTTTATTCAGATATATTGTAAGGCATTATAATCAATAAGATGGCGATAGATATCAACTAGCCTTTATCGAGCCGCATTCAGGTGAAATGCGTAAAGTATTCAGTACATGTCCAGAGTACTTCTAGTTAGACTATACGCAGCACATTTACTTTGAAAAATTATTTGGAATGGTAGAGACGTCCGCCAGTTGACGCTTGATCAGGCGAAATAAAGAACAGTGCAGTGGTATGAGCAAGTTAAGATCGCGAAGTAAATCTGCGTCCCCATCTTAAGTTTCTGGGAGTAATGGTTGTCTCATAGTAATATGCTGGTAAATTTTAGCGTACACTTTGCTAATAGTATTCTTGTATCGCGCTTAGCAACCTAGTTTACGTATGGTATTTCATTAGGTAAATATGCTCAAAAACATGATTATGTTCTTGTAAAACCTTAAGCAAATGAGCTACTTCTAGCTCTAGTATCACAAAAGCAGGTTTGCCATTCATTGTAATTGTCATTCAAAACTTGACTCAGTTCTATACGTCGTATTATGGAGACTTTTTCGGTTGCTTAAGCTGAGTTCCTTTTTCATATTGATGATAATGACATGTGGACTTTAACTTCCCAAAACCACCATATGATTACCAGAGATGCCGTAAGGAAGGGATCAAGAAATTTCGACCACCGGGGTTTTTTTTAACGTGCACCTAAAGCTGAGAACACGGCCCTACAGCATTTTCGCCTCCATCGAAAATGCAGCCACCGCGGCCGGGATTCGATCCCGTGACCTGCGGGTCAGCAGTCGAGTACCTTATCCACTAGACTACCACGGCTTGTCGCTTTTGTATTTATTGATTCCCTTTCAAAGAGAACGTTTAGCCACTCACGTTGATGATGACGTGTAACTTGTCATGAGTGACAAGCTGGCGCTATTTGTAAACGTAAATGACAAAATTTTCTTCCTTTTCTAAGGATCTAGTGTTCTTACAGATACGAAGTCAATTTTCCTTAAAAATAATGAAACATTCTACAATATCCTTTGATGCGATGAAGCAGGCGAGTGATACAGAACATATTTTGTGTTCCCAAAATTGTCTTACATTAACATTGTTCGCAAGAGACATTTGAAGCCAATTGTCAAGTTGAGCATATCGTATACCATGCCGGCTGACCAAAACCACAGAGTGCTCGCGAACTGTAAACTTTGTAACTTTGTTAATTAGGCCCAAAAAAGCTAGATTCACAAAGCTGTATTTTCGAAAATGAGCTTAGTCATTCACCGGTGGCCTCCGAAAACAAGATGTCTCATATGATGGTAGCCCGAAATTTTTATTTACTGAAAACTCAAACGTGGAACATTTTTGTCAATACTGGCCCAGAATTCCAACAAAGAAACATGCGCACTTCTCGTTTCGGTTTCTAGTGCCTCGTCCCGTGGATGGCGCAAAAATCACGCTTTAATAAATGCCACCTAAGTCGTCCTAATTATTATTAACGTCAGTCGAAAACACGTAATTAATTTTCGCGCAATGAATTGCAAGACATAAGCGCCAGCCGAACGCGTGCGCGTCATTCAGACGGGGCACTTAGCAGTGCATGTCAGAGCCAATTTCAATGTCACTTTTGCATCGCACCTACATTTAAAGCGTCGCAAAAGTAAATTGAGGTTCTGGAAAGCTTCAACACGGCTCTTTATATGGCTTACCGTGAAGACCTAAACTGTCCATGTTTATTCTTGGGGTTTATAGAGCGACAAGCAGTGGTGAATGGATGTTAAGGCACTCACATGTAACCATTCAAAATTTTAAAAAAAATAATGAACTCTGCATAAACAGCACTTGGCGTATTCGATAAGGTAGCTTACAAGGCCGATACATTTGGGCTAGTTTCTTTTCACGTCGGAAATTGTGAAACAACACCTAATGACTGGTCAGAAAAGAATAATGGGCACGCGTTTGTAGTCATCTTCGTCCATGCTTATCAAGCTGCTTCACCATTACTGATGCTGCGGCTGAGGTATTGAAATGCTTTGTATGGAAATCAGCTTTTCCCAACTTGGTTACCATGATTGCTTGATGCTCCCAGTTAGCGGTGTGACACAATGGGAGCTTATAAATTATAAATGTACTGTTACGTATTTGCTGCGCGCTTCAACAAAAGCGTAATATTAGAACTGAGCAGAAACTTTGTGCTGAAACCATCATGTGACATTTGTTGTTGAAATTAGACATCCGTGTGGGTCGATGGCGCCTAAATCAATTTTTAAATTGCGTAATCCGTTACATCCAAAATGCGTGTAAACTGTGCATTTAATAAGCAAAAATATTCGGCAGATTCCACGTACCTTGAGAATTGACGTTATGCGAAACATGGGAAGGGAAGGTGGCCGTGTCGTAATTTTTTTATTGAGCGAGACGTCATGAAATAACGCTAAATATACATATAAATGTTGCACACACAGACGAATGTTGAGGAATTGCAGATGTTTATATAACCAGTTGTTCGCACTTGTGCGACGATGCCAACAGGAATATGAGTAGAAGCGACAAGCTGATACGAGGTGCTGATGCTAACCCTGAACACTGCTACATGAATAAACTCCAGCGCCCGGCGCTGAACTACAATTGACGTTAACCCGACGTGACGGCTGTCACAAAACAGTACATATCTACGCTTTATGAAATCAGATAGCCAGCACTCCAACCATAACTGACGTTTCACTAAAATTAGGGTCTTTTTGAAAAGCACTTCTGAGGCCTGACGTGTCTCTGTGTTACAATGCTATATCGCCATGCAGAATGCTTGGGTTCGATTCCTGCTGGGACCCTCTCAATAGTTCTTTTCATTAGTCGGGTGAACGCTGCCGATCTCAGGTTTTTCTTAACGCTCACGCGTTAAAATTGCCCATGTACGTTCTCGTCGCTCCTGGATAGACGTTAAGTTTCAATCACTTGTGGCTTATGCCCACATACCAGTGGTACATACTCGCCCGCGTTTCACTGTCTGACGAGAAGTGTTTGACGACGTATCGTGACGGGATTGTAACATTATTCAAGTGTTGACCAGCACGTCACATTTGTCATACCATCTTACCCTCCCATGCTAATTTTGATTCACGCTAAGTTAAAGAGGTGACCACGAAAGCACCTAGATATAAGTGGCTGAGACAGATACGCATATAGACGCCTAAAGTGCTTACAGTACACAAAGAAATGCGTCGCATTTGAAAACTTACTCAGTAGCGTCGCCGCCACAAGGACGGCGGCAATAGTTGCGGCCATTGTGAGCGCAGTTCCAAGAGCACTGGCTGTGGCTAGCAGGGCTTTATATGTGATAAGAGAAGCTTTATGCTTGGCCGCTTCTCCATTGTTCTGTTGTTAACAAAAATTATAGCCTAGTAACTACGTGCTTCTACCTGTTTACCAGAACAGTATGCGTCTAGCCTGCTGAAACCAGACAAAGGTGAACTTTACTTAGCGGATAACACTGCCGTTTGTCAACCAGCTAGCCCCGCCGCGGTGGTCTAGTGGCTAAGGTACTCGGCTGCTGACCCGCAGGTCGCGGGATCAGATCCCGGCTGCGGCGGCTGCATTTCCGATGGAGGCGGAAATGTTGTAGGCCCGTGTGCTCAGATTTGGGTGCACGTTAAAAAACCCCAGGTGGTCAAAATTTCCGGAGTCCTCCACTACGGAGTCTCTAGTAAATATATGGTGGTTTTGGGACGTTAAACCTCACGTATCAATCAATGTCAACCAGCTATGACGACAGAAGACGGGAGAGGAAACTGTGCGCCACAACCATTCTAGGACAAGCTACTCAGGAAAGCCGTGTTTGTAGAGTCATTCTTTTGAGTGTATTGCTAAATACAGAGGTCGATCCACTTCTCAGCGCCTGCAGAAGTCTTTGTTGTTATATAAAACTAGTACTTATTAGGGAAGTATTCACTTCTAAGGTATCCTAATTCTTCAAGGACGTTTTTTTTCCCATTTTCCCCCAAATGTTTTCATCTTTTAGTTCCTTGAAAGACATGTAGCACTCTGTGTGTTTCAGTATGGCAGCCTTAACTACTGGTAGTTTTATCATAATCTACATGCATCATCATCATCTTCATTATTTCTTAGCCACCGCGCCGCGCCACTCGTGCAGAGCATGCCGAGCTCGACGCGCGATAGCAGAACGAGTTCACGTGCCTGGCATGTCGGGCGCTTACATGCATCATCATCATCATCATCATTATTCACCAACCAACACACCACGCCTTTATGCAGCTTAGGCCGAGCTCGAGGCGCAAGCAGTCAGGGACCGAGTTCACGAACCTGGAAATTCGAACGCTGGCAGCCACCGCCGCTCTGCTTCAGCCCTATAGAAATAAAGTTGGTGGTGGTGATAGCGGTTCTTGGGAAGAGCAAAAAAAGCACCTAATTTCTGTCAGCCTCTTGGGCGACACAGTGCAGTGCCTTGTAGGGGTGGGGTGGGGGGAAGGGGAATAAAATGAATAGAAAAAATGGGTGAAGACATAAAGAAGGCAATCAACGCAAATAGGAGATAGGGAAGTTAGGAGCCGGTCGAAAAAGTCTAAGGACAGGGCACCATAACAGTTTTCCCAGTGAGAAACTTCTATAATTCTTGAATATATTAGAGGTCGTTTCAGCTAACTTACTCTGGTCAGAGTTTCAAAATATGCTCACGCACTCTATGATGATGCGACGAAATGCATGTTGCTGTCTATTGCGTAGAGTAAGTACTTAACAAGGTCGCTCAATTGGAGGCTCTCATCATCTCACATAATTCTGCTGTTGCAGTTGTGACAGAAACGTGGCTAAACGACTCAATATATGACAGCGAGTTTGCTCCCTCTGGTTACAAAGCAATTAGAAAAGATCAAGGCAGCAGAGGTAGAAGTGTCTCTATACTTTTCAAGTCGTCGCTAAATTTCTTCAGAATGCCGAATACATCACATTGAATGTATTTTTGTACCAGTTATTTTAGGGGTATCAGATACATTATAGGAGCTATATACAGACATCCAAATTCTCCACTTTTCATGTTTGAGGAGCTCGAGAACTACTTACACGAGAATGTAAGACCCAATGATTGGATCGTTCTTTCAGGGGACTTTAATTTACCAACCATACACTGGCCAACTTTCACACTCACAAAGTATGATCTTGTCGGAGAAGCAATGCTAAACATGGCATTTACATATAATCTTCTTTAAGTTGTACAGGATTACACCAGAATTCAGGGATCTTCCAAATACATTTTGGACCTAATTTTTGTCAGTCGATCAATTGACGCTCGAGCAACCTGCGAGGTAGTTCAGGGAATATCAGACCGCCAAGCTGTGGGTAGTCCTAAGCGTATGTAACACTGTATTAGACAAAAATTACAACATTTATCTTCCCCTGATTTCTCTCGGGCAGACGAAGTTTCGATTCTTGATACCCTCACATTTCATTTTAATGAATTTGAAACAGCAAGTGTGATGTAAAAACACTAAGTCCAGTTTAAAAACAGTATTAACGCTTGTATATTTCTTTTGTGCCACGAGTAACTAAAAAGAGAAAACATTAAAATCCCTGAATTTCTCGTTAAACGCTTCAATTGAAGAGATGGTTAAAACTAATGAAGAAAAAAATTGGGATTTCACTTGTGATGACAACGAAGTCCATGAACTAAAAGTAAAACTTAAAAATAATGTCAGTAGTGACAGGCAGCGCTATCATAGTGACTTATTACCAAGTTACATCAAGTCAGCCCCAGAGAAATTCTGGAGAATATTAGCCCCAAGTCTGAGGAGTGTGATGTGTTTGATATAAATGGTGCATTAGTTTAGAAAACGAAAGAAGTTGCAAACCTATTTAATGTACATTTCAAATCTGTTGTTGCTAGAGATAATGGCATTTTAGTATTTTACGACGTCGCCCTGCCTCCTATGCCTGACATTGAGATCACTGCATTTTGTGTTTGTAATATGTTACCAAATCTAGATATAAAAAAATCTTCTGGCCCAGGTGAAATTCCGAATTGTTTTCTTAAACGTTATGCAGAATGGCTATCTAAATATTTAAAGGTATTGCTTATGAAATCCTTGAATCTTGGCCAAGTGCCGGGCGACTGGAAGAACATCAGAGTCAAGCTACTCAACAAAACTGGGAATAAGCAGCAAATCAAAAGTTACCGCCCTAGTTAATTACCTTTACCTGCATGCAAAATCCTAAAACACGTTTCACAAACACAATTTGGAATTCCTCAAGAAACATAAATTTCTAATAATCCATCAGCATACATTCCGTAAAGGCTATTCGACAATAACCCAATTGGTACAAACTGTACATGACTTCGCAAACAATATACACAACGGAAAACAAACAGACGCCATATTCGTAGATTTTTCGAAAGCTTTCAATAAAGTGTCTCATCAGAAACTGCTGCATAACATAAAGATAATTCTTAATCATCCACTGCTGATTATTCGAATTTCTGACTACCTTAGTAGACGTAGTCAATTCGTCCCCTTTAAAAATCACGACTCTGATAAACTTTTTGTTGACTTTAGTGTTCCCCAAGGTTTGGTTCTAGGCCCTCTTTTCTTTTTGCTGCATATAAATGATATCGCAAATGACCTACCAGTTAAGACACAATTTATGCTTATGACTGTGTCCTATACTCCGAAATTGATAGTCATTCGAATCAAATGTTATAAAATGATCCATTTCAGCAAGTTGTTGTCTGGTGTAGAGATTGGCAGATGTCGGTTAATTTCGAGAACACTGTTTTTATGTGCACTACTAACAAAAAAGACAGGCTAAGTTTCAATTACCCGGCTAGCAATATTTTCCTCTCTGAGGTAACAGAATACAAGTACCTTGGCCTGCACATAACAAACACTCTAAAATGAAATAGACTCATTGAAAAAGTGACCGCCAATGCCTATCGTAGATTGTTTTTTCTTAGGAGGGCACTCAAACTGTAAGACCATATGCTCCTAAAAATAACACATTCAAGTACTCCTTTTTTGTAAGAACCATTGAAGACTGGAATTCACTGCCTTCCGACTGCGTGCACGCTCCGACTTCTTCTAGTTTTGACCTCTGTGTTAGAAACCTTATGTAACCCTCTCCTGCTAGGATGGTGAAAAACTGTCTGCAGTATTCCTTAAATAAATAAATAAATAAATAAATAAATAAATAAATAAATAAATAAATAAATAAATAAATAAAAACTGTCAACACCTTCCGTTCGCTTGTTAGCATACAAAAAAATTATACTTCCAGTACTTGATTATGCCGCAATAATTTGGGACCCTTTTACACAAACTCACATAAAAAGACGAACGGGTGCAATGGAAGGCAGTCCACTTCATCTACAATAAGTAATCCCGTACCTCTGCAACAGAACTCCTGAAACAAGCGAATTCGCCCGCACTTATGGAATGCAATCATGTTTTCTGAATAAAACTTTTTTTCAACCTATAGATAAACTATATAATATTGATATTTCTGACATCATTAATTTTTCATCTGAGTATGCGACAAGACAATGGCATCAACTAACAATAATTTCATTCTGCGTAAAAAATATATGTTTCAAATATTCTTTTTTTCTAAGGACAGTGACTGAATGGAATAACCCAACACTCAAGTTGCTCATTCTTTACTGTCTTCATTTGCTGCCATTATCTTTTAATTACTTTCCAATCTGGAACACGATCTCGTTCAAATATGTCTTTTTTGCTATTTTTATGTATTTGATGTTTCATATGCGTGCACTGTATTTATGTGTAATGTACTTTATTTTATTATGTTTTAGAAGCAATGTTTGCTACCTTTTTGTTGTTTTGCTGCCTACATTTTTTTTTTACCATGGAGATGTATTTCCACCCCGCTAAAATCCTATATGGTGATTGCAGTATCTGTAAATAAAATAAAAATAATTAGGCCACAGTAGTAATGTGTTGTTCCCAATTTTTTAAATATTACTAAATTACTTAAAGCAACTCTTTAATCAATGAAGCGGTACCAAATAAATTGCAGTTAGAAAGTCAATAATTGATTTGCAAACGTCCCATTAGAGAGTTTCTAACAGTCATCTATGAAAAATTAGTGTTTTTCTCGTCCGTACAATTGTCTGCGAAATAAAAAAAATACCACGAAATAAAAGAGATTTTTCGAGGGGCTTGTTTTTTTGTTAGGCACATCTACATAAATTCAACGGACAGTTCGACCCAAAGCACTAATTTCAACTTTTGTCATTGTCACTACATGACAGATAAAATGATAGTTAATGTCTTGTATGCTTTCGTA